CTGGCAAAGCTATATGCAGTAACAGATGGAACAACGTTAGGACTGAGTGGTGTGGGACATGTGCTCCCTTTAACATACGACCTCAGACACTGGAGGTTGGCTGAGTAGCTCCTCCGGAAAATACAGACTTTGTAATTATTTCAGCACAATCGGAGATGGGAAGGCTCTGTTGTTATTGACTGAGTTTAAGGCAATGTTTTGAGTCGGTCTAATAATTTAATAGAGTATTGACATGGTTTCTATTTCATAAGGATTTATAGCAATTGGAATTTGCTTGTAGAAAGTCCCAGTTACTGGCTGAAGAACAAAATGTGTTCCCTGCAAATGTACGTCTGCTCCTTCCAGGATCCTGAAAGAATAAATATGCAGAATTCCACTATGATCTGCTTCTGTCTTCTTGAAGCTCGGAGGCACAGTGATTTTTTCACCTGGAAAAAAAAAAACCCTCAGAAGTGTCATAAATGCATATTCTTAACTCCATTTGCTTGTTGTGTTTTTGAAGTGAATTTTTTCCCTGCCAAATTTAGGGGACTTTAGGAACCTTCATCACTGTAGCTTGTCCTTCCCTTCCCCATCACCTTTATTACTTTTCAGTCTTCCAAGGAGTACTGAACTGTGAAATCACAGTCAGTTTGGTGGAGCTGAACTTCTAAACCCAGGGCAATAATCTCTTTTCTGGATTATACAGTAGAAATCGTGTGATGGCAAAGAACATGGTCATTTCAGAGGCAAATTGAGGCCTGCATTTCTACAGCTTCTCTACTTAAAGGGCACCCTGCTTTAACTTCACTTTGTAAGGAGTCAAATACAGAAATCTTAAAAGTGTGGAGCTTCCTCTGTGCGGTTCTGCAATTCGGGCTGTTCCTTGTTTTCTGAGGAGATGATGTTGGGGAGAGTTGAGCATCTGAGAGCAGGATGAAGGTTTCTGGTTAAGCTGGAGAGGGTATGAACGTTTGAAAGGAACGTTTTCTAGATTAGGATATTGACCCAATTTAATGCAGTAAACTTAGAGTAAGAACCATCTCATTCTAGTCTAAAATACCGCGGGAGGTCAGACAAACAACGGAGTACGTTACTTTTTGCTGCTCGTCAGTAACTGGTGTTCTTTCTGACACAGTGGTGCGCTCGGAGTTAACTAAATCCTAGCAGGAACATTTGGAGCAGTGGTCTCTCTGCCATGGCACACTGCAGGGAAGCAAGCAGGAGTGATAAACCCTACTCTGAACTCAGCCATTTCAGATGATATTTTTAATACAAGGTGCATAGGTCCTTCCAGTGAAGTGAACTGATTTTTCTTTTTTGTTTCGTTACTTCATTCCAAACTTGAAAAGGGCAGACCCACCATGTTCTAAACCACCATCTCAGATAAGGATAAATTACACCATCTTGTGGATATAGAGAGCGCACTATATTTTGTTTAATGTCAGTTTTGTTCTAAGGATAATCAATGGTTCCACTGAGAAGATACTTTGATTTAAAAAAAAAACAAGCCCAAACATGATATAAACCTCTGTAGAGTCTTTAGAATATGCATTGTTTGAATGCTCTGTGGTTAGATTAATTTTAAGACTGTGTATCTGAGATAAATTTTTCATCTGTCTCTTTCTCAGCATGGCTGAAAAGAATATTCATCTCATATACCTATAATTTACTGTTGTGTCTACGTTTATACCTGAAACGCATCTTTAGAAACTCACAAGTATTTATATATATGCAAATATCAGAAAATGTTGAAAGCTGTGATTTGTCAACCTCTCTTCCAACTGATGAGGTCACCCACTTTTCTTAATATTAACTTCATCAGAAGTCCACCCAATGAGTCACAGAACGCTTCACCATCTCGAGCAGTGCGTCTAGTAGAGATGATTTCACCTGTCCTTGGTAGAAATCTTACGGGAAATTGGAGTCCCGGAGATCAAAGGTGGCTCGTGAAGGCGTTCGGTAGCCGTGCTGGTGATGCCTCTTCTAGAGGATGCAAAAGACAGGACAGGCGGCGGGAGGCTCTCAGCTGCCCTCACTAGCTGTTAGGGAACTTGTTAGTTTTATTTCTCCCCATGGTGCTTCTAGCACTGCAGCGACTCCAGGTGCCATCTAACCTTGGAGTTTAGTCGTTCATTCACCGTCCAACGTCATTACTACTGCTGGAGTCCAGTGCTAATGGTGTAACAAGACGGTGGCAGGAGCTTCCCTCCAGAGGTAGGCGATGAAGTGCCGGTTTTGTGGAATGGAAGTACGAACCTCCCCCTACCCAGCGTTCTGACACAGCACAAATTCTTCAAGAAATACCCCGTTTCCCAGCTGAGGAGGCTGTACTTGAAAGGCAACTGGTCATTAATTGGCCAATTTCTTGTGTGAATCCTGTAACAAAAAAATTTGGCTGTGTTCTGTTACCGCCTTTCTATCGGATGCTCCAGTGGGTTCAAATACTTTACCTAGACTGAGCTTCAGCTCCTTCTGTTTTTCTAATTTTTTCCCTTCGTCTTTCTAATACGAAGAGAAAATCACATGCATTACACAGTGTGAAACTGCAGTGTCACTGTTAGACATCTGAAGAAATACTTTGGCCAAATAAGACTTTTTTTTACCCGATGCCATCACCACAGCTGGGCGTGCTGAGCCGTTGCGTGTGTATCCACGGTGTGCGTACGCTGCCTTCAGAAAGGAACTTGTGCGGTGTGCCCGGCGGAGTGCGGCTCTCCGTGCTCTCTCGCGCGTGCCTGCACCTTCCCCGAGAGTCCTGCGGCACTCGACGGTGTGTCAAATATCCCGGGGTACGTGGTCGTGGCTGCTGGAAAGCCCTGGGTGTCTCCAGGTGGGTTGGAGAACGTGTTTGCTGCGTGCCATACTAGCAGGCAGCCTGTGTCCAAAGTGCTGCTCGCTGATGCCACGAGAGGCACGCCCTTTGCAGGCGCTGTCAGACATTTCTAAGCCTGTCCTGCATCTCTGTGCGTGTCATGCTGCTGATCTGCTAATGCGTAGTAAACCCCGAAAAATTCCCGGCGTGTCGGGAGAACCCCAGCGGCAAAATGACGTTTTCACACGTGTCCCTTGGTGTGCTTGCTTGCTTCCAGACCTTACCGCCTTGGTCACGTTCAGAACTCTTCCAACAGCGTTTCAGGGCTCCTATCAAAAGGATGAAAAAAAAAGATAATTTAGTTTTGATGGTCATAACCTAGAGTGCAGAGGTGCCACTTACAGGTAGCTTTATCACGTAGGTCTGGGAGCAGGTGAAGAGTCCCTCTAACCCCCCCCGGCTGCTGGTGGAGGGCAAGGCTGCGCAGCGAAGTGTTAAACTTCATCCCACCTTTTTTAAAATACCGTGTGCCATCTTGCAGTAGGCATACAGCATTATCTGTAATTAAACTTACAAAGCACTTTTATAGTATAAAATTGTGTGCGAAGTAGAGAGGGAAAAAGAGGAAAACGCTCCGGGGTTTGGTTGTTCAGTTAGGGTTTTTTTGGTGGTGGGTTTGAGGGGGTTTTTGGTAACTTCTACCTATTCTGTTCAATCTTTCTCTTCTACATTGAAGTTTGATGCAAAGTTTTGAGTCGTAACGGTCCCACTCAGATTTGAGTGCAAAAGGAATGGAGCAGATGGGGAAAAAGTAACTTGTGCCAAGATAAACATGTTTTTCCTGCGATTTTACAAGCGCCTTTACAAACGCAAAGTCTTAGGAGCTGAAAAACGAAATCTCCAGCTCAGTCTAGTGAAAATGAATTTGATTTGTTCTGCTTAGGTTGCTTCCGAAACTGGAGGTTCATGCAGATCTCCAGCTGGACTATTTTTATGATTTTATATCTTGATAGTTTAGAACGTCTTTTTCATAATTTACTTGCTGCGATCTCACTTCAAAGTCATGTTATATATAGCTTAGGTGTAGTGATATCTGCATCTGTGATTTTAAAATTAATGATCTCCAGGTTCTTTTGGAGTTACAGAGCTGCATACAGACCTGCTGTGACTCTACTGGATTAGGTTTAGGATCAGGTAGTGTGCCTGTACAGTACATGGAATATTTTTTTTGTTAACCTCTGAAGATAGAACTTCATTAGCCGTAATGTCTATACAAAGCCACACGTGTCCTGTAGTGAGATGTGAATGTCACAGAGGTTACAGAGATAGTTGTGTCTGTATAAGGCTAAAAAAAAATTCTATTCGTTGTGTTACCTTGTGTGTTCTTCATAGTGCTGCAGAAATGTAGTGTTTAATCACACAAATCTGTCTTAATGGGTTTTTTTTTGTTGTTGAAGTCTGGATTCAGGTCACCTGTACAACTAGACCGGTTTAAGAAATTCAGATTTTGAAATTTAACTTAGCTGCAGAATCTCTTTTTATTTAATTTTTTTTTTTTTTTGAGCAACTGCACACGGGCTCAGTGTCACTGTGTTCTTTTGTTTGGCTGCTCAGCCACATGATCATAATTCAGCATCGTTGTCTTGGGTAGACGTTGGGTGTAGCTGTGCATCAGCTGTACACACAGTTAGTTACCCTTGTTGGCACTCGGAAAACAAAAATGCTAATTCAGGTGTGACATTTTCGAGACATTGGTACATAAATACGGCTGGCCCTCCTGCTGCCGCAGGGCACGGGGGGCTGTTCTCCAATGTCATTTTCCTACAAAGAGTGTCAGCAGTAACCAGTAAAGCGTCGGCAGTAACCAGTAAAGCTGAGGGATGGTAGCGGGACGGAAGAACGCGCGAATCCAGTGCATTCTTCTCTTTGCTATTAAGGAAAAACTTTTTCCCTGTGAGGGTGGCAGAGCCCTGGCACAGGCTGCCCAGAGCGGTGGTGGGGTCTGCTCCTCTGGAGACATTCGCAACCCGCCTGGACGCGTTCCTGGGTGACCTGCTCTGGGTGACCCTGCTCTGGCAGGGGGGGTGGACTAGATGATCTCCAGAGGTCCCTTCCGACCCCTGACATCCTGTGATTCTGTGATTCTGACGTTTAGTTCTTTGGGAAAATGCTTTTTGGCCAGTGAGCTCTTAGAGCTGTAACCTTAGTTGTCGTCTTTTTCCCCCAAAATAAGGTGAAAATGTCAGGCTTTGTCGAAAGTACCCAGCGGTGCTGCCCGAGCTGCACCGGGAGCTGCCGCCGGGCTGGTTTGCTGGCGTGGCTGCAGGGCGCCCTGATGGCGTTGTGCTGCTGAGCGCTGGCAGCGCCATTCCAGCCCTTCCTTGGGAAGCTCTGCGTGGTTTTGGGTCCTGTCATCCGCAAGGTTACAAAATACCGACCCTTGGCTTCGAGCGAGCGAAGCGGCAGCCAGGGAGTCCCACCTCGGGTCTGCAGCGCGTCCCTTCTGACAGAGTGAAGCAGGGAGTTCCATACCCGGGGGGAAAGCAGCAGACCCGCCTGGGGCGTGAGACCTGCTGAGGTAGCTGGGCAAAAAGAACGCAGCCGGATGTTTTGTGATTCCTGTCCCCTTGGGTCCTGCCGTCTGATGCCACTGGTTTTGCCAGGAAAAGGTACCGCGCTCAGGGTCTTTGGAGCGGATGCATCGTGTATCTCACAAAATTAATTAGAAAGTCTTCGTTTTTGTGTGAAGGTGCAGAAAACAAATGTTAGTTTAGGACAGAGGACTGGAACATAGTTGGCCAATCTATATTCGTGTTTAAGCATAAAGTGAACTAACGCCATGGGTTTAAAACAGCTAAAAAGAAACAAATACGTCGAGGCAGTGGTAGCGCTTGAAGTGGTAGCACAAAGTTTGTTCTCAAAATGGAATGTTTAAGTACTCTCATTAAATGTAATAACACAAAATTGCTGTAAAAATTGCCCGTTTCTAGGTGGTGATCTCTGCCTATATTTGTTGATTTGTTTAGTTAATACCCAGTTACTCGATGCATTGAATTCTCCGTTTCCGTGTTACAGGGCTGTTACCGCAGCTGTTGGGAGTAGCACCAGAGAAGGCCATAAAACTTACTGTAAGTTTGCAAATGGATCGTTTTCACGTTTCTCCACGTTGTAAAGTCCATCTAACTGCAATTAGGGCAGTGGGGATTTTTATCCTTTTATCCTTAACGTGTCAGCAACACGGTAGAGTGTGTTCCGTCATTTCTGCCTGATACAAACTTAATTACAGAAAGCACAAAGCAGCTGGTTTTGTCTGACTTGGGAACATTACAAGCGGCGTACGGGTCACATGCAGGTATATGCACACACATGTACATTTTAGGGATCTTGCTGAAAACTTATGTTTGGATTCGCTCCAGGATCTAAGCAGCTTGTTCCACGTGTTCACCTCATCGGCTTGTTCGTAGGTAGCGCAGGCCTTTGGTTTCACTTCTTAGCGAAAATGAATAATTATTTATTGGACTCGGGGGGCTGGGGGTGTGTTTGTATCTCCGTGTGGTTCCTCCGTGTTTAATTCTGGGACAACAGGAGATAGTATGAGCAGGTGGTGAAGTGTTGGTGAGAAAGGAACTTGTTGGCATGCGGGTTTGTGTTTTTTTTTCCCCTAAATGTTTTAATTCTGTAATTTTGTTATTTCTTGAATGATTTCAAGGCACTGAAGAATTTTTTTATTATAACCCAGTCGTAATGTATTGGTTATTCACCGATAAGCTGGTACTCACCAAAGCTGGTAGTGTGCATTTTAAAAAAAGAAAGGTACTTAATGCTATTCATTGAATTACTATTGTGTTAAAACTTATTGTTGAACGTTCTGGTATTAATTTGAAATTGTATTGAAATTTGGAAATGTAGCGAGCATTTCTAAAATCTTAAATTATCATTAATTTTCAGATAATGATGCTCTTATTTTGTTTGTTGTCTTTGTTCAATAATAAGCATTTGAATTATGCTGCCAGTGTTTGTTAGAAAGAAAACCATAGTCAGCTTTACAGTATTTCGTGTAAAAACTAAGATTTGTTTGATATCTGTTAGTTTTGATAGCTTCAGGGATGTCTTTGCATTTTCAGTTGCCCACAATTTGCAGCTGTTTTCTCCGACCCCTTTTTTATCAGCTTTCACCCATGTTTGTTTTTGAAGGTCAACGATTTTGTGCGAGATAAGTTTATGGCTAAGGATGGCTCCGTCCCGCTGGCTGCAGAGATTCTCGCGGGTGGCTGCGTAAGTACCTTCGATTTCCTTCGTGTGAGCTTGGCGCAAGCGCGGTGCGCGGGATGAACCGCGTGGAGACTGAGGCTGCTGTCCCCCCCCGCAGATCCGGGGCAAGAGCAGACTCCAGGGGAGCATCCCCGCTCCTCCCTGGCCCGGCCAGCCGCTCTCGTGGAAGGGTAAATGTCGCTGTGCATCGTGCCGGTGAGCTGCGCGGTGCCATCCTCACAGCTTGGAGTGTGTTCCCTTAATACAGGCTCTGCCTTCCGTCGTGTTGGCTGTAGCTTGTGGCCTGAAGAGGATTCATGCTAACCTTTCCCGAAGTTAATAATGAGTTCCTCCTTTGTGGCACCCACTCTGCCACGTCACTTCTTTCCTGATGTGTTATTGCACCCACTAATTTTCACTTTTTGCAGTGATACTGGCTGTTGGAAATGGCAAAAACTACTCACGCTTCTTTGAGTTCATAGCAGACGTAGGCTGTGTAATGTTAGCTCCGTGCATAATGCGCTCCTGAATGTAGGCTGTGTTTAAAACCCACTAAGTTTTTAAGAGTGTTTTGCTTGCACAAGGTAGTATCTTAATGAGCAGCTTGGCATATTACCGGGTGAAGATAATGCTCCACAGTTGGGTCTGGGTCTGTCTGTTCGTATTACAGCTTACTTTATCTGGCTTATTGATTCTGTTCAAGCGAATGTAAATACTTGAGGTGAAGTGAATAGTTGTTCAAAGACCAGTGCACTTTACAGATAAAGAACACTGTTTATTTAAACGGGCTTTGATCAGCGGGGCAGAGCGATGCCGGGGTATTTTCAATCCATCTTTGTTTCTGCTGTCATAAGACAGATGAGGTCACGTTTTCAAACAGCTTCTACCTGTGTCGAGAGCTACCGCAAGCGGCAACTTAAGAACAAATGCCGGTGTCTTACCGGCAGGAGGTGCGGAGGGTTGGGCTGGGCTGGCGGGGAGCGCACCGGGTGCGGGGGCTCGGCGGAGAAGCCCCGGCGTTCTGTAATTCTCAGGAGATGGGGCAGGGTTTGGCTGCTGTCTCACTGCTCCTTCTGTTTGATCACTGACCTGTTGTAGACTGCCAGGTAGGATCCCCTTGTTCTGTAACCTTAGGAGCATTCAGGGGAGAAAAAAAAGAAGGGGAGGGAGAGAAGAATGTGCGTCTCTAAAGCCCGAAATAAAAAGCGTGCTGTAAATGAAGGAAAAACGCAATAAAGTGCTTGCAGGGTAAAAAGTATTTGCCCCTTACACTAATAAAACGTCTTATGAACATAGCAGCCACGGAGAATTCAGCAAAATTTTCATTTAAAATGTCATTTGATCCGGAGTTTTTATTTTTACAGACTGCTGTGAATTTTTTAATGCCGTACAGAAAGCGCTCTCTGCAGAGACCTGTCATTCATGGCAACGCTGCAGCAAGCTTTGCGCCAGTGCTTCATTGCAAGCTGAGGATCTGCTTTAAGAGATAGGTGGTTTGAGGCGTATTTTCGACGTGCTGTAAATGTTGGCTTTTCCTATTTGGTGTTTGGAATACGTATTAACGGTGAGATGCTGCATAAAGTTGTAGCAGCAGACGTGCGGTGGCAGAATGCCTCGAGTTTTCTTTTAACTGGAGTGCTCCACTTAAGGGCATAGTCTCGTGCCAGGTAGATAGGTTGCAACTTGTCTTTTCTGCAGGTGGTCTTTGGGGTGTTTTTGGTTTTTTTTTTTGTAATTTTAAACCCAATTCAGACGAGCAACAGAGTCTCTCATTACAAGTGGTGCCTAGTTTTTGGGGTGAATTTTTCTCTCGTGGTGTAAATGTGTGAGGTACCAAAGACAGGCTTTTCCCTGTCGCTTTCAGGGTTGCATTGGCCTAACTTTTTGTCCCCGTTTAAGCCAATGTGAAACCAGTGCTGAATGCCTTTGAAAATTCTCAGTCTCGGATTTTTACCTCATTTCACGATGTGATAATGGCTTCTGTGGGAGGGAAGAAGACGGCAGCGCAGGATGTGTTGGGCGCTAAAAAGGGGCAGCCAGCTAAGGTGAAGCCTGTAGTGGACACCTGCCCTGTCGCCTTCCCGCTCTCCCCGTCTGCCTCTCGATGTTAAATTTCCCTTCTTCGGCGCTTCTGGCACCTTGGAGCGCGGTCGTTCCCTGCGCCAGGGCTGTGTGCTGGGCTGCCTGCGGGGTTTTTTGTGAAATACCAGTCTGGGGAGCGCAGGAGGGCGCTGGGGGCTGGGAAGGGCAGGAGGGAGCAGGTACCCGGGCTGGGAAGGGGTCGGTATCACCTGAGGAGCTCCACTCGCTGTTTGCCCAGCCACTGCCAGGCGTTGACTTTGAGGTCCCCAAGGAGTTCGCTTTGCATCGTAATGACTGAGAATTGGGACACAGGGCTGAGTTTTGCACTTGTAACTAAAGCTGGTTGTTTCACTGAACAGGCCCTTTTCTGTTTTGTAAACTGTTTTCTCTCCTGCAATAAAAAAAAAAAAAAAAGAAAGAAGAAAAAAAAAGAGGAAGATCTTTTACTTGGTGACCTCGTGGCGCTTAGTTCACGTAACAGCCTGTTTCGTTGCTTTTTATTATGTGAAGATGAAAGTGATCGGTTGGGCGAGATTTATTCGAGACCCTCAAGAGTACGATTAAAAGTAAAACCTTTATATTTTTATACAGAATCTTAAGGAGGGTTGTTATGTAAATTACTAACTCAAAATTTCCATCTCCTTGGTTTGTAAGAAATTTTCCTGGTGACTGTGGGGTTTGTCACCCATAAAAACGTGTGTGACTTCCAGGTCTGCGCAGCGCCTGACACCCGCCGTGATCTCTGGCCTCTGCTGTGCATTTAGGACTCTTCCCTCATGCGAATCCTGCACAGCCCTTACCCTTATCAGGCCGGTAAAAGGCTTCAGTTCCCGGACATGGGGTAATGATGCTGTAGAGCTGGGATCTGCCGAGCACCCGAACCCCAAATCTGACGTAACCTCCTTGAACAAATGTGCTAGGTTTGCTTTCTGCTAATGCTGCAACTTACCTGCGGGGGTTCTTTAATAAAAGGATCGTCTTGGGTAAGCTGTAAGCCCAGCCTGGAATCTTTTCTTTACAGAGGCAATAATCTTGAAGTTTCTGTACCCTTTTTTTTTCATGGTCGTTCAGTTTACATTCTATCTTAAATACAAAATAACCACTAGTCCTACCGAGTTCAGCTGCTTGCTTCTTTTAAACTTAATTCACTTAAAAGCTTCTGTTTTGGTACAGCACTGCTCGTTCTTATTTTTTGAGCTCTACTAACCCGCATAAAACTCTGTTTTTAAAAGTGGCATCAATATTAATTGTTGTTTTGAGGTGTTGTGTTCAACACTTGAGCTTTTAGGCGAGGCAGTTGTTTTGCTTGGTTCCTTAAATAAAACAGTTCCGTGCTTAATTGAAAAATGTGCGTCTGGAAGTAACCGGGAAAGAGATGCAAAGATGCCAAATAAAGAGTCGTCATAAAACACGTACAAAACGTTAAGAAAAACCAAGGTATTAGAGCACGGCTGAAAAGCAATAGCTACAGAATGTCTGTGGCCTCGCCTGCTTGGAGCAGTGCAATTATATAGGTGAATCGAAGGCTTCATTTTCAGCAAGAAAAGAGAAAAACATTTTGCTTTATTAACCTTTCCTTCTGCTCTCCCTCCTCTTCCCGAGCACGCACAATCTTTTCCTTCCCAGCTGCTCAGTGTGTGCTCACTATTAGCCAGCTTAAATCGTGTAGCACAGTACAATTACAGACCCCATACAGATCTGCTTTTATTTAAGTTGTCAAGACAATTTTAGGCATATTTCTGGAGACTTTATAGTAATCGGAATAAAGTTAAAACATATTGGACCTGCTTGGACAACCTCAGCTCTGCTGTGGAACATAAAAAATAGATCTGGTTAAGATGCAGCTCATCTAGAAAGTGCAAAATTCTGTCCAAAATTAATTTTTTATAAAGGAGTATGACGTGAAATTGCAGATGAATTGTGCCAAGTAACCGAGCCCGTGCAAAGAGTTTTATTGAGGTTCTTACAACATTTATTTTGTGTTTCAGAGAGTAATAAAGATAAGTCCACAGCTGAGCTGCCTTTTCCCTGTGGCATTGCAGTGGAGGTAGAGGCTGCAGGGACTGCAGTTCCCACACGTCTTAGATCTCTTTCTTGCAAAAATTGAGGCATTTCTAAGTTGCAGGCTAAAGGAGGCTGAAGGTGTCATTCTCGCTGTCATGATTCAGAAACCTAAGTCTGAGAAAATTCTGTTCTGTTTGGTAGGGAAGGCTGAGCTGGGGGTAAAATGAAACTGAGCATCACGTATGCCAGGGGAAAAAACCCTCTGCGTGCATAGCTGAAAGGAAAAAACCGAAACCAGCTGCTGTCAGACCGCCAAGTTTTGGTGTAGTTTATCGAGACAGTTCAGTGATGATGGTCTTCGCGGTGACGGCTCACGGGAGCTTTGAGAGCCAGCGGCGTACGTCTCGTGAGCTCTCGGAGGCGTTCTCGGCGGTCTGCTCTCCCTGGAGTCGGGGGGCCGCGCTGGCACTGCCTTCAGGGGAGTTCTGCCTGCACGGGGAGAAGCCCAGCAGGCACACTGCTTGTGTAAGGAAATGATCGG